TGCTGCAGTCAATCAGGGAAAAGGGTGATAAAGACCTGCATTGGGCTAACAGCAGCAAGAATGGAGAAGAAGACTGCAAAAGACAAAAAGAAAACTGCAAAAGACAGTGCTTTTTTTTTTTTCTTTTTTTCTGTCTTCAGCATCACCGTCTGTCAGCAACATTCCAGGGCTAAAACTTCCTAGAAGCAGGAGTGGGAGCCATATTGTGAAATACTTAAAGTAGAAGAGTGTTTCATCGACATAGTTCTTAATCATTAACAAATGTCTACTTTTAAGTAGTAATGAAGAGAGATACCCTCTCCAGCAGTCGATTCTATCAATTACTTAGCAGATCGTATAAGAGTAAATGTATTGAATTTGTTTTAGTAAAGATCTTACACATGGTGATGATCAAGATCATTAAAATGTTAAACATTTGGGATAAATTAACTCAGGTTTCCTAACAGCATATAATGAAAGTTTTGTTTTATTTACCAGATATTAATGAATGTCAAGAATCCAGCCCCTGTCACCAGCACTGTTTCAATGCCATAGGAAGTTTCCACTGTGGCTGTGAACCTGGGTATCAGCTCAAAGGCAGAAAATGCATGGGTAAGAAAAGGGCTTTGAACTAAATAAAAATGATGTCTCTGTGACTTCTTAATGCTGTCTGATCTAAATGCATCTGCTGTGTCTTTGTACTGATTGGTGGTTCGGACGACATCAGTCATGCATCATGTATGTAATCCATGCAAAACCAAAATGGAGACAAATGTTATACTTTATGGGCTTCATTTTCTTATTATATAAACATTCTTTTTAACATTTCCTCCATTTACTGAATTTTTCTTGTAAAAATATAAAATATATATGTTCATACACATATGTATGTACATTATATATGTATACACATGATGTTTTTCTATATATATTTTTTCGTCATTTTTATTTTTCTAGGAGAGAAAGTGGTTGGTATGGCTACCAGCTCTGTGAAGCAATATTTTGCTTTTGTTTTTTATTTTTATCTTTCTGTTTTAAAGTATGTTACACACTTTGTTACACACTTTATCAGATTTAAGTACATTAATCTTACACAATGATTATTCAGTGAACATCTATAGTAGCTTATAATATCCTTAAAATCCAAAAGTATGGTTTCTCTAGAAGAGTGGAATAAATCATTGTCTCAACATACGTTACCTTTGTTCTTTTATCAAGACGTGAACGAGTGTAGACAGAATGTATGCAGACCAGATCAGCACTGTAAGAACACCCGTGGTGGCTATAAGTGCATTGATCTTTGTCCAAATGGAATGACCAAGGCGGAAAATGGAACCTGCATTGGTGAGTGTCTGGCTAGTTCGGTGCCTGAGATCTGTTTACCATCAACAAGTCAAGTAAGGTATCTTACTTTTTTAAACTAATGATTTTAAAATTAACGATTAGAGTAAATTTAAGCTAACAAGGAAATCTTTCTTTCTCTGTAGGTACTCCCAACTTCTAGTATGGGTGAGCTCTGGGGTCGCAGGGTCATGGCTATACCACGAAATGGAAGCTCTCTGTGGACATTTCTGACCATTTTGAGTTCTCATCAATTGTACATTTGGTTTACATAGTTTAATATCCACATGAATTAGTATTTTCTCACATCATTTCTACTGTGAAATTCAGCATATATGTTTAGAATTTCATGGGGGCTAAGAAAAATTATGTTTGTAGAGATTTATTAAACATTCAAAATACAATTATTTTAAAACTAAATATTCCTTAAATGTCAAATCAATGACCAGACAATGAAACAGACTATATTTCACCCAAAATTTATTCTTTGTGTGTTTATTTTGTATCAGTCTATTGAGTTAGCAGATGTCAAATCAATGACCAGACAATAAAGTAAATTATATTTTTCCCTAAGTATGTTCTTTGTATGCCTGTTCTATAGACCAGCTTACCTGAGTTAGCAGAGCCATCAACTGCAGGATTTACAAAAATAAAACAGATGCCATTCCTGCCCTCTTGTACTTACAATCTGCTGGGTTAAAATACACAAGAGGAGGGCATGATTTGTGGATTAAATTAGCCTTCTCTACTCCCTCCACCAAAGGAAAAAAAAAAAGCATGCAATAGTAAAGGCAGAATGAAACACCATAAAAGAGGTACAGATAGAATTGTACAACATACCCAAGAGAGTCATCATATCTAATAGGAGTGACTGTCAAGGGGTTCATGGAAGTGATCACATTTAAATATAGGCTTAAATGGAATGTAATAGTTGGAGGTGAGAGAAAAAGGAAAGCAAGAAAGCCCTGTTCGAGGGAGGAAGTACTGGACTTAAGAATAAAGTGTTCAAATTCATCATTCCTTCTTGACAGCTATCTGACTTTGGAGAACTCTTCTGATCACACAGAAATTTAAGTGTCTCATTGTAAAAATAGCACAGTTTTCTAAAAAGAAAAAAGTACTCTAAAATATTTATTAATAAAGTTACAATACGTCTTAGATTTGTCTCAAAACAATATGATACCAGTGATGGATATAGGTATAGACAAAGGAATATTGACCACTCGTTGATACTTGTTGAGATATATGAAGGTTGAGTATACTTAAAAAAAGTATGGTGGTGGTTTGGACTGTCAGATTTCAAAGACTTTTCAACTCTAACACTATGGAGATAGGTAAATAATTTTCTTAATTCTTAAGAATAGCAGCCACCTCATGGCATCATGTACAGTTATATGCAACTGTAAATATTTTTAGGAATATTGACTCGTTATGTATAATACTAATTAGCCACGAGATGAGCTGAAAAATCAGAAGACTATTTAAGAAACTACAGCAAAAATATAGCAAAGAGGAGCTGGAAATGTGGAAATATCAGGTTTGATTGAAGGAAATAGAATTACCCAATCTTGGCAACTGATTGAGGGAATAAGGTAATGACTCTGGCATTAGCAGCCTGGTTGACTGGGAAGACAGGAGTGCTGCTATGCTAAATTAGGGAGTAAAGATAAGATGCTGGGGACCTGCTGGGCTTGAAGTCCTGGTAAAACTCGGAGATGGAGAAGTCCAGCTAGCAGCTGGAACGTGGGACTGTAGATCAGAAGCGATGTGGTACTCTTGCTCTCAATCTGCCTAAACGCTAATCACTAGTATAAATAAATGGCAAAAGGAGGAGGGAGGATAGACAAGGAGAAAAAAAAATTTGAGAATAAAACTCTTTCCATAGTAGGGAGCAGGAAGAAGAAAAGGAGCCAGTTAATAAGTGGCAGAGCTGGGCCTTGAACCCACGCTTTCTGACTCCAAGTCATGAGTTGATCTGATCTCAACCACATGGTGAGAATTGCAACCTTTGGCAATTCTACAGAGCGTTAATTTTAAATATAATGACTTCGGGTTTTGAAAGAGGAAATGTTATTACTTTTTATTGCCTCCGTGTCTGTAGATATTGATGAATGTAAAGACGGGACCCATCAGTGCAGATATAACCAGATATGTGAAAATACGAGAGGCAGCTATCGTTGTGTATGCCCAAGAGGTTACCGGTTTCAAGGAGTTGGAAGACCCTGTATGGGTAAGTTAACAGGAACTCTTACTGAGTAATAAAGTACTAATATAGTTAGCTAGCCTTACCAACTTGCTTAGGCCCACTCTCTCTGTCCTCAAACAGTCTCTTGCTACAGTTAGAAGGTATGTAAGTTGGTTTAAGTAATTCATAATATAATTTGCATATTTCTTATTGTTTATTCTTATTATTTGGAGATTTCATATTGAGTTCAATTTACACTGACATTTCATATAGCCATAATCACTTACTGAGTGCTTGCTATACACCGTGTATATCAAAATGAGGTTCTAATATAATTGCCATGACAATTAATTATTAAGATGATCTCATTGATTATTTCTCTATGTACAGGATGTAAACATTTGCATAGATACATTTTATTGAGTATGAACTATATCTGTATGTGGTATGAAAGTTTGGGTATGAGGGATTAAAATACAAACACCTAATTTAAGCAAATTGATAATTATTACTTTATCTAACATATATTTAATGCTTACCATGTGCCATTTCCTGTGCTAAAAATATTTCATTCATCTCTCCCAACTGCCTGTTTGTTTCCATCATAGTTACAATTGAATACAAAGTAAGGCAGATCATAGAAAATACCTGTAAGAAGGTAACCATATATACTTTTTAAAAAATTGACACATTTGTAATAAAGAAACTGATCAAACTGTGTCTTCCTTAGAATATTTAAGTGCAGTAAAAGATTGTGTGGGATTTTAAATTCTAGCTACTGGGTTTCATGCTGTGCTTGTTAAATTGGTTGCCTTGGTTGTCTACTAAACAATTATTTATAACAAATTCTCCTAAGAAGACTTAGTTCTATCTTTATGGAGTCTCTAGCATAGTAGTTTTCACATAGCAAATGTTCAAACATTATGAGAAACTCTTTTAAAAGAAATGCCTTTTAATAGCAGGAGTACATGGCATGTCATTTTAGTCTTCTATTTAGATATTATAATTTATATATAATTTAATATCTTGAACAGCAATAACAGTGACTTTTCAGAATGAAATATGTTTATTTGCTTACTAATTTGACCAGCAATTGAATGTTAGACATTAGGTTGGGGAATAAAACAAGGAAGAAAGTAGGATCATTGCTTCAAAAAGATTAAAAATATTAATCTTAATTTTTGCCTACTAAAGTAGTTTTTAAAGCAAGATTTATTACTTTTATCTCACCTTTTTATGTTGCTTTTTAAAATGCCACTGTCATAATAGATTAAAGAATTTGGTTTTCATCCCCGGTTTTCATTCACTTTTCCAATCTACAGGAAGCATTGCAAGTATAGACTCCATGTGTTAACTTAGAAATAGAAAGAAAAATAACTTTTTAAAATTATATGGATTTGTTGAGTTTATAACTTTGTAAGAAATGATTATGTGTCTTTGTTGCCTTCTTTTTAATCTTTTGGGAAAAAATGTGCTTGGCTTGATTATTAATTCAGAATTATAAATTCAGAAATGACAAAAGAAAATTTAAAAGTCCATAGTTATGGTAATATTCATACATCTGAAACTTGTAATTGTATGGCAGATTAGAAATGCTAGTGATCAAAATTATAACTAAAGGCAAACTGAAGATGCAATTTCATTTTTCTCTCCACCAACAGAATTAAGATCTACCCTACCTTTTGAACTCTGGTTTCTATGTCTACAAGACCACAATTTCCCACTTGACCCTTTTGTTTCTACTGCTAGTGGCTTGATTTGGCACATGATGTCAAGCTCATTCCTGCATTCATTCACAGATGTTTAATGAGCACCTAATTTGCACAGGACAATGTTCTAGATTGAGGGATTACAATGCTAAACAGGGGAGACCAGAGTTTACCTTCCATGGGGAGAAACAAGAATCACAAAACAAATATGTAATACAATTTCAGATAGTGATAAGCACTCAGAAAAATAAAACAGGGCAAGGAGAAAGAATGATCCAGATTAGAGGGGTAGCTCTCTGATCCAGCCAGTCCGTCTGAGAGACTGAGCATAGTTACGGAGCAGCGGCCACGTGAAGGTCTGAGCAAGTGTATTCCAGGCTGAGGGCAAAGTCCTTCAGAGAGGAATGCACTCACCATAGTCAAGGAGCAACCAAAGGGCCCGCGCTGTTGAAGCAAAGTTAGGCAAAGGGTAAAGAACCATGAAAAAGAATTTATATTTTCTTTCAAATTTTTGAAGGAGTGACATAGAAAGTCTTGAGCAATCAGACAAGCAATATAATACAATTATAATAGTAATAACATTTGAAAAAGATCACTCTGGCTGCTGTGTGGAGAATAAAGCATAGGAGGGGAAAGATGATGCAGAAAGACCAAGTCACTGACATGAACATTTTAAAAAGCATAAAAGTAGTTACACACATAGAAGAATTATATCTAGACATATTAGATTGTTTCTGGTATTGTCAACCAATTAGGAAAATCAGAAATCCATCCAAAGGATCTATTTGTCAAAACAGAGAAAGAGCAAGTTAAAGAAATAAATTTTGGAAATGTACACATACGATTGTATTAAGAGATACTACTGAGACTTTTTTATAATTGTAGTTTCATGAAAATTGTATTAGTTTGTGATTCCACACCGCTTTGCATCTTTTTTGCCAGAGGAAGATATGCAAAAGATAGACAAACTAGGATATCTCTCTCTAGTTGAACTCAGAAATCTGAGTGTAGTGTTTATACATGTAAACATTTGATTTAAAATGTCAATGTTGCATTTGAAATTACATGTGAAAATGTATAACAAATTGGCCCAAACTAATACAACGTCAAGTTTTTCTTTTGTAGTCAAGGAGACAAGGCTGAAAACAGAGTTCCTTAGATCTCGAGGCCGCCACAACTGAAAGCAAAAGGAGGCTGGATGCCCAGAACTAGTGTCTGGTTTTCTGAGCCACCTGCTCCAACGTGAACATTCAAATAAAACTTGTACATGTGAAGCAATGTTTAGGGAGAGTTACAGAACCTCTCTGTGTATTCCTAACTGAATGATTAAAGCTTTCTCAAGCGTTTATAGCAGTTGGGGAGAAATTACTGTATTCCTGGCTTTTGGAGGGTAACATAAAATGTCCTCAGTTTGTTTCACAGACTGATGCTTTATTCCTGTGTTTTGTGTATGTGTGTGTGTATGTGTCTTTTTTTTCTCTTTTTATGTATCATGGCACACGAGCAGACATTAATGAATGTGAACGAGTGCCTAAACCCTGTGCACATCAGTGCTCCAACACCCCCGGCAGCTTCAAGTGTAACTGTCCACCAGGACAACATTTATTAGGGGACGGGAAATCTTGCGCTGGATTGGAGAGGCTGCCAAATTATGGCAGTCAGTACAGTAGCTATAACCTTGCACGCTTCTCCCCTGTGAGAAACAACTATCAACCTCAACAGCATTACAGACAGTACTCACATCTCTACAGCTCCTACTCAGAGTATAGAAACAGCAGAACATCTCTCTCCAGGACTAGAAGGACTATTAGGAAAACTTGCCCCGAAGGCTCTGAGGCAAGCCATGACACGTGTGTAGGTAAATGTCAGCCGTATTCCATTTCCTCTCTGTGGGCTCCCTCGCTCATCAGCGTCTAGGCATGTGCACAGGCCCTGCGGTTGTTCGGGTGTAGCCAACTACATCTCATCTCAAGTCTGGAATGACTCAGAGTTTCAAGACATTTATTCTGGCACCGAAAACTATTACAAGCTTTACTCAAACAAGTGATATATTTACATGTGTGCATTCTAATAATTTATTGTGTTATGCTAACAGTTTCTCTTCTTGATCACCCCTGAAAGTGTTACTAAATTTAATGCTGTATAGAAATAAATCTCAGTGGCATCCAGAATATGGTTTTTTTTAAAGAGGATATACATACTGCCACGTAATAAAATACCATCCGATTATGGCTGTATCTAACTGAAGCAAAAGCACTGGCTTAAAAATGAACGTTTTAGCTACACAGTCAATTGCTTGTTCTGTGTGACAGCCAACATCCCATTGACTGTGGCCACACACTCCCCGTGGCATTTCTCAATTTGATTATTTTATATTTTTTTATGTCACTGAAAATATAATGTGAGCCAGGACAAGATTAAGTTGCTTCGGTCACTCTAAAATATGTGCTTTCAATCTCTTTATTTAAACATGCAAGTCTGTAATTTTGTTTGCGAAAGTGAAGTGTAATTTCCAATGTAAGTATTGAGACCTTGTTTTAATGTTAAGTTGCAAACATTACCATCTGTCATTCATTTAACTCAATTTTGGAGAGTATCCGCAGTATGCATGGCATTGAGCTAGGAACCAAGGGGAATTAGCAGACAGGAATTAGCTTCACTATTTGTTAGATGGAAAAAAGAGAGCAAGAAAGGAAGGGAGAAAGGAAATGAAAAGGGAGAGAAGAAAGGATTTCTGTTAAATTCAAAGGCCACTCTGCAAACTTCCTTTTCTTACATTTCTAAGAGTTAATTCTCTCCTAAATATGCTTTCTGTTAAACATTTCTTTTGAAAATTGTAAAAATTTTTTTTCTCCTTCAAACTTCAATTTTTGTCATTTTTTTCTACCCTTCTCCAAGCCCTGTTCCTGTATCGTTACCTTCTCAGACGTGCTCCTGCTCAACCGTAGGTGGCTCCACCTTCTCATGTCACCTCTGCTCACTCGGACCCTCAATTCCTCTGGATACTCAACCTTTACCCTTTGTTGTCTATGTTCATATTTTTCCAGAACTATTCTGTCTACATATCCTGATGTACCTGAGGCTTAATAGGAGGGATATGGAAACTTATCACTTGTGATCAGCCTCCCAGAACAGTGGACAATTCTGTAATAGTTTCTGCTACTCATCAAACATTAATGGATTCATTAACAGTTCTCTCCATTTTGTCCCATGTGGTCAAATACCGCCTAATCACTAAATCTGTGGGCTCTCCTCTTCCTGCTAGTATATTAAAAACCACTCTCAAGCTGCTACAAACCATTCTGAGTGTTGGCAATCTTTTATGCCCACAATTTTGACCTGACTCTTCACTAAAATTTTTCACTATTCTTTTATTGACAGAATTAATACCTGACATTCTTTCAACATTGCTTCCAAATAGTCATTCCCACTTGAGAGTGTTCAGACCCTATTACCATCCCACTCTCAGCCTTCATTTTAGACAAGCTCTTTTCTTCTGTTTCACCTTTACCTTCCTGCCCAAAAATCTGTGTTGACAATATGACAAATGAATTCAGCCACACCATCCACACTATCTACCACTAGCTAGTTTCTTCTAAAGTATCTGAATGTCCAAGTTATTTTAAGAAAACTTCCCGATTAATAACCCAATCCTCTATTTCTTCGTCACTGTCTATGGCTGCAGTTACATCATTAGAGTCTTAAAAACGTTTTCTGTCTTTCTATTTACATTAAATCAATGTTATATCATCAGAATTGTCTTCCGCAGGCAGTCATTCACTGTTTGAGGCAGTGACTGTTTCAGTGAGGATTGGTCTTAGAGAATCCAAAGCAAACTTTTATAACTAGTCAATTTCTGGACATGTAAGTTTATTTGTGGCAATTAATAGGCTTAAACATTTCTTAAAGTATGGTGAGTATTTTATATTAATAGTATTGGGATTAATAAAGAAATTTACACTAAAATTGCAGACAGCTTTGGAATTATGTAACAAGAGCAACTTGCAAAAAAACACCAAATGCCTTCAATTAACTGTAAGGAATAGACATAGTACAATAGATTCAAGTTAACACTGTGGAATCTTGTTAGAGTTAAGCGAAAATTTAGCTTTTGAAGGATCGCAAAGCATAACAGAACATTGCATTGCTTCTGAACACAGAAATCACACTTCGGGCCACTTTAAAATTTATGCTTTGGAAAGTTCCATCTTAACTACTTGGAGTTCAACATCATTTAAATTTCTGTTGTTATTTAAGGTTAAAGGAGATTTTAAAGGAAAAAAGTAAAAATAGCTCACACAAGTCATGGAACAAACACTTTGGTTAAAGTAATGCAAAAACATTAACAAACAAATGTTTGATGAGTGTTTATCATTAACAGATTTTGAGTCATTACAATTAGATTTTCAGCATGTGCAAAATATGCAAAATGAATAGATCCTTTTGCTCTGAGTCATCTCCCAGATTTCACTTTGTCTTCTCTTTAGTTCTACCCTACAGCACTCTTGTTCCCATTTCCTGTTGAGTTTTCTTCAATCTTCTACTTCTTAGTATATGCTCAGGGACTATGAGCAAATTTTAATATCATTCACAGCAAAACACAATTGGGACAAGAAATCCTAGGCTTCTCAAATCACATCCCTTGTCCTTAAAGCAAATATCAATTAATTTTGAATTGTCATCTATTCTCACTCTCTTTTATATTACTGTTTTCTTGGCTTTATTTGATAATAGCAGATAGTCCTTTATAGTTTATAAAATACTTTCCCATATATTACTGTATATGAAACTTCCAACAAACCTGTGAAGTAGGCCAGATGGTCTCAATGTTTTCTTTTTGGCAGGAGAATTGAACTGAGATCTCGAGAAGTTAAATGGCCTGCCAAAGGTAGCACAACAACTATATATACATATATGTATGTTATGTATGTATGTGTGTGTGTGTATATATATATATATATATATATATATATACACACACATATATATATGTACTTGCTATTAGTACTTTACAATTGTATGAAAAGTTTGATGAATAGTTCTATCACAAAAATAAAACCATTTTCATTTGATGTTATCTGTCCATGGGAAAGATTTGCATGGATGTTGATGGAGGGGATGCAGAGAGAGAGAGAGAGAGAGAGAGAGAATAGGTAAAATTTAAATAAAATAAAAACTAATGCTTCTTTTTAATCTTAATATAAACTTTTATATTTTAGGTAAATTTTACCATTCTGTCAACAGTTTCATACTTTGGTATTTGAGGATCTTATACAAATCTGTTTCCTCTGTCATTTCCGTCTAACTTACTTAACTAATATGAAAATTGACCAGTGTGGGTCTTGAGATTCAATTTGTCAATAGTTGGCTGTCACAGTTTCTGCCATTGTCGTATGTGGTGATACCCTCTACTATCTTTCTGCACAGATATTGATGAATGTGAACATACAGACACCTGCCAGCATGAGTGTAAGAATACCTTTGGAAGCTATCAATGCCTCTGCCCACCTGGCTATCAACTCACACTCAATGGAAAGACATGCCAAGGTGAGAAAACTTTGGGACGTTACTGCAACTTCAATTAAAACCAACATGGGAGAGTGTGAAAAGTTTTTTTGAATAATCATTCTTCTATTTGCTTCCCCTTCTTGCCCATTCCCTAGGGCAGACTTACGTTCAAACAATCTTTCTGCAAGTAGGAGAAGCAATGAGAGAGCAATTAAGCAAAGGAAAATAGTTGGGAAACATTTTTGGTATGATCTTAATAGAAGGAGCAAGAATGCCTGAATCAGTTCATGTTATACATTTTTTAAACTTAATGGGAATAGATCTCTTCAAATATTTTTTCACAATTCGGCTAAGACAGAAGAGGAAATGAGAAGAGTACTCAGTAAATTTCCTTCAGTGTTAGGCATTATTTTATATTTTGTCTCATTAGATTTATGTTTAGAGTGATCAGTCGGTAATAAATTCAGTCATTCATTCATTGAGTCTACATATGGTGTAGAACAATTACGTGCTAGCATTGCAGGATGCAGACGGTTTAAACAGATAAATAAGAATCAGTCCTTCCCTTTAAGCGCTTACAGTCTGGAGGAGACAGGATGTGAATAAATCAAAATATAGTTTATAGGTTCTATAACAGCAGTGACAGAAAGGAAAAAATACCAATCTCCGTAGTTTCCTTTTTATACACACAAAAATGTGAAAGGGGCATTGTAATTCACTGAGGTTTATAACATTGCAACATGTACTTAGATGAAAAAGAAGTAAGAACTTGTATAACTCTTTAAAATATTCTAAGAAACCCCCTCAATTTTGTGGACAAAATCTAGAAGTATTACGTAGATCTCAATAAGCTTCTGCATTATATTAATTTCTGTCATGGACAAACTATATTCTTTTGTAAAGCACAGCAAATAAAATCTCCAAAAGAGTGCTTTATCAGCAGCAAATTTAGATCGAATTTTTCCTCTCCGTGGGATTCACAGAAGACTTGCTAAGGATGTAGCTCACGGAAAATGTGTTCCAGGAGGTAGGACGGGTGAAGATGGCCTCTCCTTGGTTATCACCCCAGAGCCACCCTGACCCTACCATCCACCCACGCACACTCCCTGAGAGCCCCACCGATTGCGTGGGCTGGGAGGGGAATGTGAACTCAGCGATAACCTTTGTTCCTCCTGGCCGTCAGTCACCAAACGTTCCCTGAGAACCTACCCCATGCAGAACACTTTATTGATATTGGAAGTACTGGAATAACCTATTTACATTATGGCGTTATGTTTTTCCAAAACAACTATTATGTCATTTTAATCAGCAGTACAGATATGTCAAAGGCAATAATTTGTATTATCCTAGTGGGTACCCATTAGACGATTTGTACCCATTCTAAAACTAATTCGTAGAGTGATTATGTGAGCTTCAATGCCCTAGAACAATCGAGAGCAGAGGCAGGACTTGACCTCAGATCTCATGTATCTAGACCAGCCCACTGTGTCTCCCAGGACGCTGTGCACTGTGGCAGCAGGAGGCAGCGACAGCACTTTGTCTGGGTTTTACAACTTTCCGCTCTTCTCCAACCCAAGAACCTTCCTGAAGGAGTGGCGATGCCCCGCACTACAGCGATACTCACTGCAGGTGCCCCGGCATCGGGGAAGGAAACAGGGTGGATACTGAAGCATTCGGAATAACCACACAAAATGCAAAGCCCCTCAGCCAGATTTTAAGGGTTATATTCTCATTAGAGAATTTTTCATCTTTTGTAAATATTGCTGGTTTATTTTTTAATTGCGCTTGTCACTCATTGAGTTCAAAACATTTTTCGGTTTTTAGTTGTGCTTCAGAATGGAAAATAATGTGAATAAATCAGAAACAGGTGTCATTTGGAATGCTTGCAATTTAAATAGGTTACACATTTTTGTAGTTTTAAAAAGACATGAGAGAAAACAATTACGTCTTTTAAAGAGGTCTTTAAAGAATAACTCGGGGTCTTTTTATAGTTTTAGAAAGTGTTTGAGGCATTTATGAGGAACAAAAGACTGCCTTTCATTCACAGAGGATTTTTTAGAGCTTTATACCTTAGTGCTAGAAATGTCAGTAACAAAAGAAAAATTAAAGTGAATTTGACATCGAACAAGGAGACTCTCGTCAAAAGTGAAAGTCACCAGACTGCAAAATGAAAAACAAAAAGCATGACCAATCAAGAATTGCCTAAGAAGCAGAGAGGAGAAAGCTATGAAATCCTTACACTAACTTTATGTACCACTAATCTAATTCTTAAAATTTGGAAACATTATATTGGCATTGCAATTGAAATGAGTGTTCTTATCCATCTATGCTTTTAGAAAAGTAACCTGTAATGTTTATCAAGAATCTGAATGACTTATACTTTCTATAAGACATGTGTTTCAAGTATGTTTATCCTAAATTATTTTTTTAAAAGAATTCGGAAACACTTGGTTAAATCCATTTGGCTGTTCTAAAACTATTAATACGTTTCTCAGCTCATTTTGAGATTCTTTTCTTGCAGCAATAATATTTATGTTACAAAATGCCTATACTTTCTATCATAATAATATACTTGTATTATTTAATGAAAACCAGACATGACCAAATTGTTCGTTAACAAAAGACATCAACACAATTTCTCTCTCTTTTTTAAGAACAGTGAATAGAGTGAATTACTATAGGGTGCTTGATCCTGAGTAGATAGTAATAGACCAGTGACAAAGGAGAGCCACCTGCCCAGCACCTCCATACTTACATGAAAGCCTTTCTATGGAAAGTAGACATCGTTATGGACTAAGGACGAACACTTTGTGTAGTAGATTCTGACATTTCTTTATAGATTCATAATCAGACAGTGCAAATCCATGATAAGGTAACTGCTCTTTGCACACACTTGTGTGTCCAGATCCTGGTCTCTGGGCCACCATTATGAGGGGACCCTGGAGCCCACTGGCCTCCATGTTTCTATGTGAGTGCACCATAAAAATTAGAGATGAAATGAAATTTGGAGGATGAGTGGGAAGGAAGATGTTTTTAATGAGAGAAAGGAAGATAAGGCTAATTGAATTTCTTCCACATTTTTCTAGGGGACTTTTCACTTCCCTCTGAGACACTCTCATTTTGTCAAGGAGACGAAGCACTTCTGACAGATAAAATCATAATTAGAAATTGTTTCCCAGACACAATAGGCAAGACTTAACTGAAATAAAAACTTGTTTCACACTGTGTTTCATTCCTGTAGGAAAACTAGTCCTAACATAAAACTAGTAACAGAAAGCACATTACATCATTGTCAGCACATATAAAAAACTAAAAGGTCAAGGAAGTGATTTATTCTGCATCATTTTGGCATACTATCTTTTTACTTTCTACAGACTGTTATTAAGTTTAAAGTAAATAATTACATTGTCTGTGGTTTCCTTAGAAAACAATATATTTGGAACCAAATCTAAAATGCTCATTTTGGATGCAAAATGCAAATGGTAAATAATTCAGAAATGAAATTTGACATTTATTATACATGATTAATGTATTGTCTCTTGGAATTTCTTCTCTCCTTTCTCTTTCTTTCATAGCAATATCCCAAATTATTTAAGAATTCTCAAAAGAACTTCACAACTTTAACCCACGTCCAGTAAAAGTGCCAAGTTACGGCAAAATGACACCACAGTTACACATGCCCATTGGTCTTAGCACAGATTCCCTGACAGGGTGCGTTTGACCTTCGGGACCCACCTCTCTGAGGACCAGCTTGAATCATTCATTGGAATTGTTCCCGGCTGTGCCTCAGGATCTCTGTTTATTCACATGCTAAAGAAGGAGGATGGCATAAGTGCCTATATGCCGCTAATTGACTTAGACTCTGAAACCTTTATATTCCCTCATACTTTTTAAATTAAATCTTAAAGTTTCTTAACGTAAGTTTAAATAGTTGCAAAGGGTGTGAATGCTGGCATTGCCATTTCATGAGCATGTGCTTTAAATATATTTTGATCAAAACTTCGGAGCTGCAAGTTTAACTTCCTCAGTTAATAGAGGATGACCACTGTATAATTTAGAAGTTTGTACTCATTGTCAAACCGATCAGATTGACCGTTGGACAAAAGTCTAAGTTGATTTTTCTGTTCAAACAAAAGTGTTAGTAGGTGTTCCCATGACAACCAACTCATGTCTGAAATCTAATTTAAAACAGAGAGCTAAGACTGCTGGTTTGTAACCATGATAAAATAAGGCCTGCCCCCCATCACTATTTATTACCAATATTCTCACCCTTTCTTTGTGCCCTGGGATTAGTGGAAACCTTTTGGCAAAGCAGAAGAAGGAGGGAAAGGAGGAGAAGGGATAGGAGACCTCCGGGCCACAAGAAGTTCTCAGGCAGATTGATTTTGGGAAGAAGAACTTGTGGGAAATGAGAATGTGAACATTGATTTCCTGAAATATTTACCTGCCCTCCTACTGCTAGAAAGCCCTCATGCACCAACAGGGGAACGTGGATGCCCCAGTTTGAGAACTATTGCTCTAAAATAGGGTTCTTAATTTTGCAATCTCAAAATCCCTCAAAAGTTTTGTTGAAGTCTATGGACCCTCTTTCCAGAAATTCTGTCCATCAATCTGTTCTCAGTTTTACTGTCTCTGTCTGTAGATCTCTCTCTCTCGATTTCTCTCTCTCACACACAAACATAAACACACACACGTGAACACATACACATGCACACAAATACTTTCATTCACAGATCCCCTTATGCTCAAATACAGACTCCTAAGTTAAGAATCATGCCTCAAAAACACTCATTTTCAGAAAACATTTAAGTATGTTTCTACTGAACAACTTTGTGTAGACAACAACAAAATGAAGAGTATTTCATTTGCGTATTTCCCCCAACCTGCTGTGATTACCCTAAGGAGAGCGTCTCATTACCATAACAACTAAGGACAGCTCCGCACAGTCCAGACTCAGGCGGACTCTGCTCCACGTGATCAGACTTCGGTTGTGGTTCTTGGGTCGTTCGTATGATCCTGTTTTATTCTTTATTTTGTCTCTCTCCTCAGGATCTTACTGACCTGTACATTCTCCCCTGAATTTATAGCTTGACTCCTTTAATTTCTACTACCCTATTTCCCTCTCAACAATTTGAACTCACAAAACAAAATACTAGGGAAGGATCACTCACATTTTAAGGAAAGTCTTCACTTTGCAAAAATATTCACAAGTGTCATTTAAATTTTTAGCCTGTTTATTTGAAATATTATTTGCTTTATATAACTCAAATGCACTCTATTTTCTAAATATAAAAGACACCCGAAAGCTCTTAATAGCTCCCCGTCTGCTTTTATGGCTCTTATTTTCTGATATCTTTTCACGTACGTTAATCTGGGAAATAAGCCCCCCTGCTGTCACGATCCCCGTTTTGTGGTTGAAGCAGCTTCGGTAGGACCACTGCGTTTGTGCACGGGGAGGAGAAGGCCAGCCCTCTGCATGCCACAGCGCCTGCTCTGATGGCCTGTTCTGACCCTCTCTGCTGATTCTGCCCGTCCCGTGTGCTGTCCCTAGATGTCGACGAGTGTCTGGAGCAGAATGTTCGCTGTGGACCAAATCGCATGTGCTTCAACATGCGGGGAAGCTACCGGTGCATTGACACGCCCTGCCCCCCCGACTACCAGCGGGATCCTGTTTCAGGGTATGTCTCGCCTTCTCATCCCCGACATGCTTTGAAAATCCCTGCTCTTTCTCCTTGACCAACATAAACCTTGTCTGCAGTCATGCTGAACTCGAAGGAAGCCAGTAACTGTAGAGGGATGTGGGATTACAGTGCGTTCCTTCTTCAGTGACTGGGCAAGAAATGAGCTCATCCTGCAGCAGCCACTGCAGCCTAAACGCACTCTTGGCTACCGGCATCTCCCACAGCGGCCTCCCCAGCCACCTGCTGCGCGGCATCTAGAATCAGTTCTGCCTTGGTAGTGAGCATTTTATGGGGGGATGGAGCCTGCTTTTCTTTGAAAGTCCTAGGTTTCCATTTTGTTCCCTCGGAATTGTGAGGGCTCTCAGCACTTAGAGCACCCCAACAAGTATGACCCCTCCCCTGTCGTGCTGACCGCTCCACGCGAGGACGGATGAGCAAGGATGAGTCAACCGTCTGGCCCATCCGCGTGTCATCTTGCTTACATTTCCTGCCGTCTGAAACGGTCTTTCTCTGGGTTCTCAATAAACTATTCTCCCTCTCCTTACAGAAATATTGTGCTCTGTCCAGGTACCAAGTTAACGGGGTGCTTGGAAATAAGTGATAATGTCTTGTTGGGGAGGCTTTGCTGCAATAAGAAAACGTTTCTGAAAACAGATACTCGTTGGAGCTCACACTTTGTTTTCCTCTTGGAAATGCCAACCGAGTTACTGCGACGTGCCCAAGTGTGGCCTGCCCGGAATCCAGCAAAAGCTTGTTTGTAATTGGTCTGATGGGAATGGGAAGGGGAAGGAGAAAATTGAAAATATAGACTTATGAAACTTCTAAAAATACTATGACTGAAGAATCCATATCTTCATAAAATGGTCCTCTGTGCATTTTTTTCCTCTTTATTACCTGTGATTTCTGGCAAACAATTTAGAAGTCATGATCACTCAAAAAATGGTCCATGTGGGCTCCGGTAAAAGAAATTACAGTTTTTTAATCTAAAATAATATAAAGATAATTACAAAAGGAAATTCTCCCCTCCAGGAATCCTAATCGACCTTTATTATTTTTAGAAAAATAAACCAAATATCAGTATATCCATTTCGGCTTTCAAACAGGGTTAGGATAGATGTTCTGGCTTAAAGAAATAGCTTGTATTCCTCTCTTTAAGAAGTACTTGTTTCCAATATGTGTGCAGATGCTTTTATTTCCAAAACCAACTTTTCATTTTAAAGCAGAACTCTTGAGGTATCCATGCTTACTGCAGTGGCTCAAGAGCTTCTGATTTTAATGGAGCTGGGAGAGAGATTTGACTCTCCACAGCATGTTCCCATAGCCCTCGGGCATCTGGTTTGAGTTAGTGACACAGAACATGGGTGAGTCTTACTGCTCTTGCAGCCAGACTGTCTCCTGCATGTCGTGCCTAAAAGTTGTCGTGGATCATGGTCACCTGCGTTATGCCTTCTCCTGCTTCCAGATAACTGCGTGTATTTCATGTGTTTGTTGTCCTTAGGTTCTGCCTCAAGAACTGTCCACCCAACGATTTGGAATGTGCCTTGAGCCCATATGCTTTGGAATACAAACTTGTCTCCCTCCCATTTGGAATAGGCACCAATCAAGATTTAATCCGGCTGGTTGCATACACGCAGGATGGGGTGATACATCCCAGGACAACTTTCCTCATGGCAGATGAGGAACAAACTGTTCCTTTTGCATTAAGAGATGAAAACCTGAAAGGAGTGGTGTACACAACACGACCACTACGAGAACCAGAGACGTACCGCATGAGGGTTCGAGCCTTATCCTACAGTGCCAATGGGACCATTGAATATCAGACCACGTTCATAGTGTATATAGCTGTGTCTGCCTATCCCTACTAAGAACTCTCCAAAGCCTATTCCACACACTTAAACTGCTTAATCATGGCAATCCACTCCCTTTGCAGATTACTGTCTCTTGAATGGTTGCAATCTTGGCAACTTGAAAATGGTGCTATACTCTGTCTTGTGTGCCTTCTTTGGTACTGCCGAAGTATTTTCATGATCCCGCCATGGTCATATCTTTTAGTAAGGTCTGGAAAAGCCCCTTATTACTTTCTTTATTTATTACACTGGAGCAGTTACTTCCCAAAGATTATTCTGAACATCTAACAGGACATATCAGTGATGTTGCAGTAGCATAGTAGCTAAGATCATTTTCCTCAAAACCAAACCAAAGCAAACAAAAACAACTAATTCAATGTCATGTAGATTTTTGAGCATTTGAGTATTATTAAAATAATAAAACTCATTTCTATTTGTTTTGATCAAAGCTTATAAAATAACTTATGAAGTTTTTTTTTTTTTTATTTAAAAAAACAGGATGGCAGAAAATACCACCTGCTTCTGCCTGTCCCAGCAGGGACACCCCCGTGGCCACACTTACGATGAAGTTTTTTTTAAGTTTTGATATTTTATAATAGAACTTACACACCTATTTTCATTCTAAGGAAAAAAAGAAACACCACTGATTTTAGAAATTTACTACAGCTACTAGAAGGTTTGTTTGATCCCAAATGGTGCTCAGCTTGATTGAACATCCAGAACTAGTATATTATTTTCAGTGATTTTGTGAAATCAGCTGAACCACTTATAATAACAGAAAAAAAATTCCTTATCCTCAGACAATTGTTCATGGCACGGATCTTTGCTCTAATATTTTGAGATAACTTTCCATCCAGTTAGCTTCATAACTTCTCCATTCCAGAATTTTTTATTGTCCTATCAATGAAAAAAATTTTTAAAATACCAATGGGACAGGTTTCTTTGTTTTTTAAAAAAATATTGTACGTTCAAATTAGCACAAATGTTAAACGTCAATACACTGTACATGGTGGTAACAAACTCTGTAAGCAATGGCCAAGATGTATTCTATTTTTTATGAAGTGTATATCTATTACCTTAGTTTGTATTTTCTATATAATATCTTGATGAGACTCTTTTATAAAATTATTTTATAAAAAAAAACAATGTTACAGTAAAATTAGCCTAAATAAATTTTTCACATCCTTTTTCTTAACTTTTTTGAGAATCTAAAGTTTGTTTCTTTACAGCTGTAATAGATATTAAAGTTTATAGTCATACACATAAACACAAACGAGAGCCTTTGAGATAGGCAGTGGTATTATTCTCATATTATAGGTTAGGATCCTGTAACACAGATAACTTTTGTAACTTCCTGAAGAAAATACAGCTAAGTAGTGGCAGAAATGTCATACCTTCTACCTACTTTGACTCCAAGTCAAATGATATCTCCACACATGACAGTTTTCTCATCCATCTACACAGTTTCCTTATAGCCCATCTCAAGTGAATTCATCTCCTACCCGTAGTGTATATTAAACTAGTGAAGGCCTAATCATGGCCTATAATTGAAGGATTTTTACCTCGAATCACATTTTTTAAAGAAACCTGGAAAAATTATCTAGTCCACAGCCTGGTAGGCAGGCAGGTAATATCTAAATCATTGTTTACCAAAGAATGTTCTATAGAGCACTAGTCCAGTAAAGGTACCTTAAATCAAAAGGGTTCCAGGATCAAACAAGTTTGAGAAACACTGCATAATATATGCTCCTATTAAAGATTTACCACGAACATTGACACTTAAAGAATCTTAGGAGTTCAGTAGTAAACAGGTTTAATGTGTTCAAGCCAACATTTCCTCAAGTGTTTAACTACAAATCTTTTTCCTCCTATTATGATCTCACTGAACACGTCGGGGAATGCTGGTGTGATACAGACAAGACATCGCTTCACTCCTCAATCCTTAGAAAGGACACTTTTTAACCTACTTTGGTAAACAATTCCAGCACATGAACCTGACCACTGAGCTTCTTCCTAACGTTAAACTACATTAATTTTTGTCATCTCCTCTGTCCAATATTCTGCAAGCATAGAGACTTCAGGGTAGTGACCAGACATGAGCTACTGTACAATCGGTAGTAGGAACAGCCTCCTAGTTACCACAATATTTGATTTGGAAATTCCTATCTGGAGCCAGAAGATCCAGCCAGAATCTTGACTTTAACCAAGCACTTTTAACAAAATTTCTTTGAAACGTCCTGTAAGCACCTGGTGATTGAGCAGAGTTAGGCAATGGGGTCAATCATCAAACGGGACAGTTCCTTTGGGACGATGGGCCAGGCTGTGAAGCCTCCTGCAAGGCATCCAGCAGAGCTGTGGGAGCCAGCCTACATCCTGTCTGTCACTATTACAGTCTTCTGAGCCTGCAAATCCCTCAAATACCGCAGACAGGACAACTAGCAGAAAAGGGAAGCTCTCCAAAGGAAGGAAACTAAGAGGAACAAATAAGAGACCTCACAGGTGATATTAGACTCAAATATCTACAATCCCTTATATGAAGGCTGCCTGCAATGTAATTAGTTAATTTATCTGACGTTAACATAAACAGAAGTATGATCTACATCAGGCATCAACAAATTTTTTCTGTAAAGGGCAAAGAATAAATATTTTAGGCTCTTTAGACCATATGATCTCTATTGCTACTATTCAACTGTGCTGTTCAGCATGAAAGCATCCACAGACAACACATAAACGTGTGCTCCAGTAACACTTTATTTACAAAATTTGGCTGGATTTGGTCTGGAGATCATAGTTTACTTCTGATCTACAAAATGGGTATAATTCTTTTTATCATTCACAATGGCTCAATCTGAGCACAGGGTAATAGGCCATGGCTCTGATGAGTGTTACAGCAGGATGCCGTCCTCTGCATGCGCAATCCCGCCACATCTCTCTAACCCATTCTCATCCTTTACATCCACCCAGGCCGCAGACCCAGCTGTTAGGTTGGGGCATGTTCAAGCCCCACTCTCCCTTCATAAACACACACGTGCACACAGGAATATGTTTTGCAGGGTGAGATATCACCACACTTACCAGAACTTACCATTTCACATGTTGGTTCACGTGGGTGAGCCAGATAGTCCAAAGATATGACATTCCCAAGATAAAGACCCATTTTATCCAACTGACTACTTGACATTTTCACTTGGCTCTCACACCTAAGTCAAACTTACACATCCCACATATGGTTGATGAAAGGACGGCTTTGCTAATGAACTACCTAATGGAAAAATGTAAACCATCTAACACGCTGTCTCCAAAATTGATGGCAGGGATATTAACCTTAAGCTCGCTGTTCCTGAGATGAATTACCTGTCTTTTAAGGTTAACTAATTGCCTGCAGAAATGTTTATACAGCAATTAAAAGGATCTCAGCAGACCAGTTCAGCCAAACTATAGATAAGAACCTCTCCAGGCAAAGGGGGGGAAAAAAGGAGAAACTGCTGCCAGCTGCCTCCTGTTATCAGTCTGCAGCAGCAAAAAAAAAAAAAAAAAAAAATCATCCTTTAAAAGCAGGAGCTGCTTTTTCTCAGCTGATAGCATGTCCCCCTACTTTCTTTCAGGTGCTATGTCATCTTCTCTCTCTCTCTCTCTCTCAGAAAGCAAAATAACCATTTTACTTCTTTATATCCTAATCTCTGCATGAGAATTCTTTCTCTACCCATGTCATGAGCACCTAATGGGCTCCCCACTCTTACATCTCGTGGCCCATATGGGGAAGTCACGTCACTTCTCTGCTTCCATATGAGGAGCTCACTTTTCTGTTTCTGTCTCAAGACTGCTCCCTCCCCTGCTGCACAGCTCCCAGGACATCCTTCTCGGCGCCTGCAATATCATTCAGAACTTGGTAAGTCTCTGACCTCCGTCCCAAATGTGTAGTCTTGTATTGACAGCCTGGTCACAATAAAAATTAAATGACCAGGAGATGTGGCCCAAGAATGGATCTCTTAATCTTGATACTAGACTTTATTGCCACTGGCTTGGCTAGGAGTCTAAAGTCCTCTATGTTTAGAAGTTCTTTGAACTTGCTGGACTTTCTGGTCTTCACTCTGCCTGCCACATGTCACTTCTTACCCCTGCATCTATCTCTCTCATTGTCTTCACTTCCCAGATGATATTTCTCTTTCAGCTTCCCCTGTTCTCCCTCCTTCTTATTCTCCATCTCCACCACTCTCGCTTGGCTGCACTCACTCCCGCTGGCCATTCCAAACTCCCTCCCCGCCTGTGCAACAACTCCCTCTCTGGGAGGCTACAGGGTCACAAGGCCTTGTATATCACTCAGAGCCGACATGAAAATCCAGCCCTTCATCTCTCACGACTGTCTGAGGTCATTCACCTCTTTTCTAATTTAGACCCTGACACCAGGGAAGAATGATCCGTCCTAGCAATACACTTCTTCTCCTGATCGGCCTCCAATACTCTGCATAAACTCCGAAAACTTGAAAAGGGCCTCAGACTTCACAAGTGGAACTTTAATCCTGGCCTTCAAGGTCATTGATAACCGAGATGAGGAGAAGCAAGAGGAACAGAGGGAGCGGGACTGGCAGTGGATCCCTAGAGCACAGAGAAGTTTTCCAAATGGTGGCTACTGCTATAGAAAAAGCTTTTCAGAGACAGAGCTACTCAAAAGTCCCAGGCAAGAAGATACCAAGACCACGCCCTTCTACAGGAACTGGGCCCTGCTTCCTCTGCAACCAGGTGGGCCCCTAGAAAAAAAATGCCCCAGGAAATGAGCTCTGCTGAGACCATGCCTTCTCTGCAAAAAGGAGGGCCACTGAAAGCAGGAGTGGTTTCTCCTTGACACAGGGGACTGTACTCGCCCTCCATAACTGGCAGGCCCCCTGAGCCAGCATCCTCCATATCTACCAACCCTCTGGGGCTGCTTCAGTCTGATGGACAGACCCCAGCTCCAAAACCAGCTTCACTTCATGACCTCAAGACAGCCAAGCCTTGGGTAATGGTTTCTCTGTCACAGG